TGCTACTGTAGTTTTATTTTTTTTAATTACCCGAGTGTTAATATTAAAGTAGGTCATTAGCAGCCAACTTTTCTCCTGTGTTTTAACTTTGGTTTACTTGTTCTCCCTGTGCTTAGTCGTTGTCTGTATCATATTAATTCTTATTTACGGATTATATTTTTCAAAGTACTGCTTGTTGCTTTTGAGATATAATAGAAATCGTTTGCTCCATGAAACACAGCAATTCAGTAACTTGAGGTGACCTAAAATACTTTATTCGCACATTGCTTTTTCTACGCCGCCATTCATGGAAAATGCCATGTGCCAGCGTTATGAGGATATGACTTCTGGTATCCTTGTGTGTGACTGGGGCCAAGAAGTCAGACTGGTCTATGAATGACAGCTCAGCTCAATGCTCTCCTTTTTCAGCTGCCAAGGGATTTCTTCTGGTATTAGTACTAACTGTGTGCCAACTCCAAATGTGCTGATCGGAACCAGACTTGTAGGAAGGTGTCTAACCCCAGCTGGGATAGACAGGCATCATACATGTTAACATCACTTCATGCTAACCATTAACTGCCCATAAAGATAATGCAAAGAATGCTGAGGAAAGACCTGACATTGCTAAAATGGCCAGCTGGTCCTAACCTAACATTAATAAACAAGGACTTGAGTACATTAAGTATAACTTCAATTCAGTTTTCAGCCTTTGTCTAGACTTTGTTTATGTAACGCTTTGCAAGGGCCATAATGTGCTTTGAGCAAAATGATTAACATCATCCTGTTTTCAAAGGGTTTGGGTTTTGAATAACTGAACTCAAACACCCAGATCTCCTCACAGAAGGTCTGTTGGTCCTTTGAACTCCATTTCTTTTTTTACTCCTGTAAGGTCCCAGGCATCTCAGATACGTAGCTTAGTATTTGCAGCCAAATAAAGTATGGCTCAGCTTCTCTGACTATGTAAAGTTTTGCCTGTCCCCTTGAAGACCTGTCAGAATTCAGTTAAGGGAAGAATGTACGGGAGTCTTGTATTTGAAATTTTAGAAAATTTGCAATAGTGTCCATCTAGCTTAAATGCAAAGTATCTTGGTAAATTATTTGAAGGATCTGGTAATAGGAAAAAAGAGTCAAAGACTTCTCATTGTATCTGATGTGACTATAAAAATAGTTTCAGGAAATAAACCTTTTGCTCACTGTTCTCATACAAATTCATTTGACAAATGGACCACTCGATGGATAAAGAACTGCCTGGACAGTCGCACTCAAAGAGTTGCAGTCAACGGCTCGATGTCCAAGTGGAGAGCCATGATGAGTGGCATTCCTCAGGGGTCGGTACTGGAACCTGTACTATTCAACATCTTTGTTGCTGACATGGACAGTGGGGTTGAGTGCACCCTCAGCAAGTTTGCCGATGATATCAAGCTGTTTGGGGAATTAGACACGCTGGAGGGGAGGGATGCCATCCAGAGGGACCTGGAGAGGTGGGCCCAAGCCAACCTCATGCAGTTCAACAAGGCCAAGTGCAAGGTCTTACATCTGGGTTGGGGCCATCCCAAGCACAAATACAGGCTGGGCGGGGAATGGCTTGAGAGCAGCCCTGAAGAGAAGGACCTGGGTGTGCTGATTGACGAGAAGCTCAGCATGAGCCAACAATATGCAATCGCAGCCCAGGCGGCCAACAGCATCCTGGGCTGCATCAGAAGTGTGGCCAGCAGGTCAAAGGAGGTGATTCTGGCCCTCTACTCCAGTCTTGTGAGATCCCACCTGGAGTACTGCGTCCAGCTCTGGAGTCCCCAACATAAGAAGGGCATGGACCTGCTGGAGCGCGTCCAGAGGAGAGCCACAAGGATGATTGGAGGGCTGGAGCACCTCTGCTATGAGGAGAGGCTGAGAGAGTTGGGGCTGTTCAGCCTGGAGAAGAGAAGGCTCTGGGGAGATCTTATTGCAGCCTTCCAGCACCTAAAGGGGGCCTACAGGAGAGCTGGAAAAGGACTTTTTACTAGGGCATGTAGTGATAGGACGAGGGGGAATGACTTTAAACTGGAAGAGGGCAGGTTTAGATTAAACATTAGGAAGAAATTTTTCACTTTGAGGGTGGTGAGGCACTGGAACAGGTTGCCCGGGAGGTTGTTGAGGCCCCATCCCTGGAGGTGTTCAAGGCCAGGCTGGATGTGGCCTCGGGCAACCTGGTCTAGTGGGAGGTGTCCCTGCCCATGGCAGGGGGGTTGGCACTCGATGATCTTCAAGGTCCTTTCCAACCTAAACCATTCTATGATTCTATGAAATGTTTCTGCAGACGAGTATACTGGAAAAAAAAACTGCTGAACTAGTATAATAGGTGAATATTTCATTAGAGTTTTTTCCCGTTCTTCGAGTAATTTATTTATAATACTTAAGCTTACTCAACAAAGAAAACATTGTGTGTCAGGTAAAAACAGCTTTTCTTTTGATTGCTGTGTTTACCTGCTTGTGAACTGACTATACCTGTTTTCTGTGTAACTTCTAATTTGGAACTTGTTTGTACCTGAAGGAGTCTCAAGAAATAGAAGGGAAGTTCAAGTTGTTGCTAATAATTTTTTTTTCTTCCCCTTGTACTTCTCAGCAGCACTTTCTCATATTCATTGAAAATGCTATATTCTCTGCCTTAGTGTGTTTAAAAATAATCCTTTAGAACCCCCTTTTGTCTCTGATTAAGAAAATGCAAGTCTTAACAGATTCCATAAGTGGGTCAAACACACAAGTTAATCTGTGGTAGTGGAACATAAATTTGCATTCCAAGAAATTAAGGAAATTAAAGAAAATTCTGCTCATATATTGTGTTTTGCTTTGTTTCAACTGCTTTTTTTATGGACTATCTAGGTATTCCCAATGCAAATAATCCAAATAGGATAAAGAAACAAATGGCCTTTTCACTAACATGCCTTTTTTTTTTTTGTTATTGATGGATAAGAGCATTTTTACTGAATCACAGGTAATGCGTTGACATAAGAACTCTAGCAGAGACTAATAAAAATCTTCAGTGCATAAGAATTAGGGCCGCAACAGGAAGGCAGTGATTGATATTCAGTGCCTTGCTGCAAGTAAAGTGTACTAGTTGTCACGATTCTGATGTGGGCAATTGTCTGGAGAGTTGGAGTGGTCAGTAGGGAGTCCTGAGATCAGCATAAGGTAAATTTGAACCAGGATCTTAATGTTGAAAAGAAAAACAAAGGTAAGGAAAATAAATGTCTTTTAAGCCACTAGAAGAAAGTCCAAAAGATGCCACATTTCTTTTAATAGTAGATGAATTGTAAATTGAATAACTGAGAGCTGCTTATGTGATATTTAGTAATAAAAGCAACAATACACAAACACCACCTGCTATAATTACTGCCTTCTAACTATGCTAGAAAACTTGGATGTCTTTCTGTGAGGCACCAGAAGTGTCTCATGGGTTTGGGAGGAGGAAGAGTTGTGTGCAGTAGAGGAAAGGCAGTTTTATTTTTGCTTTATGTGTTGGGGTTTGGTTTTTTTTGTAATCCTCCTCTTGCCTCTTCTGACTTGTATAATTAATGAGTTAATATTTCCCTCTGCGTTTGACTGTCTTGCAAAGGATGCTCTAGAATGTCTTTCAGAATGGCTTTTTAAGAAGAATGTAAACAGCTAAATCAAGACTGTTTTGCTTATTATTAAGGTTTGAGTAGCGGATGCTAACTTATGCAGAGCAATTTAACTTCCAGTGCATCATTAATGAGATTGCATTCTATATACTCTTATTTGCATCAAGGCACGGATATGTCTTTCTATCTTAGGGAAAAATGAGGAGCTGGAAATGGCTTCTCTACTGTATTATGTTTTATGCTACTCAATCCAAATCCAATCTTAACTGCAAGTTTTGTGTGTGTTTGGTTGTTTGTTGATTTTTTTTAATTTATTTTTTTTTTTAATTCACAAAGCCTATCTGCTGTGTAAGGAGCTAGAGCTTCAGGGACAAATTAAAAGCTGAACTAGTCAGAGTGTATTTGTTGGTAACTGGAAAAATACTCTCTTCCACAAGTAAGAACAAGTAAATCACTACAGTGAAATACAGAATTATATGATCTCATGGCTGTGTCCTGGTAAATAAAAAAAAAAAAAGGCAATCTGAGGAATCACTGTTTCTTATCAGTGGATGGGATTGAGGGTTGTTAAGAGTGAACCGTCTCATGGCAATCCATTCCCCACCCTCCATTTCCCATACAACACATAAGGCTTATTTGTGACTTACTTTATTTTTCTTTTTACTTATCAGTTGATTTTGTATTTGCATTGTCAGTATCAGTACAACTACTTAAAAATCTCTGTTGTTTGGATATGATGATATCTTCTCTGCCAAGTGAGAGTTATTTGCAATGTTGGAAGCTGTCTTTGAATGTTACGTGAGATCCCCTTGCTCAACTGTGCACGAGAGAGTGAGTGCTGAAGCCAGAGAGAGAGCTTACAAACAGTAACTACAAATATCTGAAAATGGCCTGAAGATACATATATGTCACTTAAAGGACTCAACATGTCCTACAACATTGCCATAAGTGGACCTAAATTTACTTCTGCCAGATAAAACAGCCCACAGTAGTCAGCCTCTTAGAATGCAGTAGCGGTTCAAAAGAGATGATGGGAAAACATTACTTGCTGTGATGGATGGATTGTCCTTTTGTTTTAATGTGCCCCCTTCCCCCATGTAACTAAATCTCCACTTGTTCAAAGCCATACAGATTTTTGCTATTAAGCCTGGCTACTTTCCATGCAGCCGTTCTGGATTTTTACTGAATTTTATTACAGTTATGCTTAAAAATGATAATGGGGCTATTTGACAGTGCTACAGCTAATACAGTATTTTGAGAGGAGAGTAATAGAACTCATCAATTAATCTCTGGGCTGTGGTGTCATAGTAGTAACAGTGGGAGAAACATCTTGCTGTGTTTGAAGATTGCATGAAATTAGAGTGTAATCAAATATAGAAGCTGATGGGTTTTCAAGGAGAAATTCTTATTTATATTTTTCAGTACCACCAAAGGAGATGTAATTTGCTACTATGGAAACAAAGGAGAACCAGAACCTGTTTTCCTAAGTCCTGGTAGGTTTTCTTTAGCAAGGTCTGAATTTTACTCTGTTATTTTAAGGAAGTCAGAACGTAGCTGTAGTGCTCTAGTAATTTAGCTATTTAAGCATTGTCTTTATTAACTTATTCTTTGCATTCTTTAAAAAAAAAAAAAAAAGAAAGAAAAAGAAGATTAAATGTCCTTAAATACATTTAAGTATTTTAATAAGTTTCAGTAAAGAATCAATAGTTCGTTGAAAGCTTCTGTCCATGTCAGCGTACCCACCTGCACTGCAGTTAGTGGGGTGCTCCTTAGGTGACCATGACTGAAGGACAGAAGTCTGTCTTAAGGAATGGCATTTTCAGAGGTTCATGGACTTGACCCCAACTCTTCTTACCCAGCATTGTTAAGGGCATAGTGTGACTATGCTTCTGTAGGGACAGAGTTAGCTTAAAAAAATTATTTAAAAAAGTCTGTCTTATCAAGTGGCTTCATTGAACATATTTAAAATTTAGTCCTTTGCTAGCCGACTACATAGATCAGTATTCCAGAATTCATCACCAAAAAGCCAATTTAAGTGGACAAGGACACATAGAAGGCTCTGAGCAATGTAGCTGGTTGATAACAGTTAATGACAGTGGCTCATTTTGCCTGCTTAGGTTAGTGGTCAAAATGTTGCTGCGAGTGGGCAAATAGGTACTGTAACAATTACAGCATAAATTCTTAGAAATAGCTGTTAGATTTTGTACAGCTGCCAGCACAAAATAGGGTTTAATACAAACAAACAAACAAAAAAACCCTTAAAAAATCTGGCTGCTTATTGTAATGAGAAACTGAATCACAAATTTTAGGTATGTGCAGACGGTAGCAAAGGTAATTCTGGTCTCCACGCTCCAACAACATTTTCAATGTACATGCCTGTCTTTAGGGAGAGCCGAGGTTAGGTAATCTTTGTGCTTATTTGTTCAGATTGAGGTGAGAAATATAGGGTACCTCTAAAGAGAAAGCTCCTTCTTGTCATCAAATGTTGCTTTGCGGTGTTTTTCAAGACTAAAATCAGAGGCAAAACCAAATTATGATTAATATAGCTAAACTGGAAAAGAATAGACTGCAAAAAATATATAATTCTATTGTACCTTTTTCATAGTTTAGCAAACGAGAGGTTAAAAGTAACTGCTGCAAATATGGATTAAGTAAAACTGTCAACCAAAGTACTGTATATTATTAGCAGAAGAGTGCTGAAGCACAGGCAAGTGTAAGAGTCACACGCACTGTAGTCTCCTCTTTAGGCATGGGGTATGTGTTCTATAGCATACCTGCTGATAAAGGTTAGCTGGGGAGTCACTTAAATTGTATTAAAATTTGTGAAGTCTGTAATGACAGCTGCAAATCACCACAATACTATTTCCAATTAAATTGATTTATTCCCCCTTCCTGAACATTATTAAGTGTGTAGATACTCTGCAGCTAGAAGTGGTCCACAGGGACTGGTCTGTAAATGCTTGATTGTTATTGCTTTTAAATCTTAAAACTTACCACATAATCTCCTTACAACAGATTTCATTAATTTCATGACATGTAAAGCTTGAAGGGTTAAAGTTGCTTTGCAGAAATAAACTCAACATCATGATTACGAGTTATTTTGTGCTTAGGTTATGCAATACCCTTATGTTTCTATTAGTGCTGTGTCCTGGAGGGGAAAAAAAGGCTTTGATATTTCACCTGATTTCACACCACATTGTGTTAATAACAACTCTGAAAATCTTAAATTCAGCTAATTTTAGTAAGCTTAAAACAATGATGCTCTGAAGTGGGTGTTTTGGAGGGGTGTTTTTGTGGTTGTGTATTGGTTTTGTGGGGGTTTTTCCCCCTAATAAAACAGTCAGAAATAGTGGTCCGGAAGAGTTGTTGAGAAATGGTTAGGTTATTTTATTATGAGTTACACACCTAGGGGATTCTTACTATCTGGAAACGTGTTTATAATGTGATACAATAAATACTACATCTTTGATACATAATTTAATGACCTCATTTATTTTTGAAGCAAAATGAAAACTGGCAATAGGATGAATAAGCAAATCATCGTAAGAGATTCATGATGAATTTGCTGACAGCATTTGTTTCTGTCCCTTAGACCGTGTGGGATAAGATAATTATGAAGGGGTTTTTTGTGTAGTACATATGTTAATTTTCTTTGCTCCAGAGCTTAGTAAGTTGTTTAGGTGTTTTGGTTTTGTTTTGTGGTTTGTTTTGGTTTTGTTTTTTTTTTTATGTCTAGGAATATATGGATTGAGTAATTCTTTGTTGGATACGCCATGGAAGAAACTTCAATACGGGAAGCAGCTTTTCTCAGAAGTGGTCAAGAGAAGTCAAGACCTTAGCAAAGAAGACTTGGTGCAGGAGCTTCTTACAGTGATGAATAATCAAGAGCCGTAAGAACATGATAGCCAGAGTTTACTCAAAATGCAATATGACCAGTTTAAAAATTGCACATAGAAACTACTTTGACAGAAAAGAAACTTTTGTCTTATATTAATTGACTAAAGCTGGCTAACGAAGGGCAAAAGTAGTGTTCTTTCTCTCCACAAAGACTAACTTGCAACAATATTGATTATTTTTTTTTTAGGCAGCAGACACAGTAAACATTATTACTGCAGTCTTAGTACTGATAGACTGTACACCGATTGCTCTGTGCCCTTTTCTTTTACAGATTGCACTTCTCTTAGTAAGGGTAATGAGAGCAAGACAAGGGATGTGTAAGTTGCTTGCTGTAAGCTTTGTGGAAGCTCCCTGTAGGATAAGGGTCAGTTCCTTACTGCACACAGAGTAAGCACGTGCTTACACGCGCAGGTTCGTGTTAGTAGCTGCTAGCTATTCTGTATTGCTGCCCAGAGTAGACACAGAAGGTGGAGAAGCAAGCTGTTTCCCAAGTAGAACCAGCTGCCTTCCTCGAAAGTGCAATTATTTTAGGCTAAATGAGGGAAGGAGGTAAGGGAGTATTTGCACAATTCAGCCATAGGCCTCTGCTCAAGGAAGTTCCCAAGACGTAAGTCTGAGTATCTAAGTAAGGTTCCTGCACTCACTCCTGGCTGCACAGTGGACCCGAGCCCGTAAGCTAGGTGTTTGCAAGTAAAGGAATTTGATACCATTTAAATGTCCAGACACGGAGCAGAGTAAAGGAGGTGCTGTGGTGTAAATTCGTATCATTGCTCACCGTCCAGTCACTTCCATGTTTAGCCCGACTTTTACCTGTCTAGGGGGTGATTTGTGTTGAAGCAAAGCTTTTTCTGGTATATATAGATCCAGTTTCCTAACTTTATCTGTCAATTTTAATGCCAGCATTCACGTCTATGGCATTTTTCAGTGGTTCGAAATAAACGTTTACATAAGAACTCAGCCATCTTGAACCATGAGTAGTAATTGGGAAGTCTGCTAAGCTGTCTTAATTACTTTTTTCATCTGACGTCAGATCAAGTGATTTTTCAAAAAATTGTTATACTTTACCTTTTACGAGTAAAAAGACAAAGGTATAAGATACAATACAGTCCAAATGATCTCCCTTAATGTTCAGTACTTCAGTATGATTTCATCTGAAATCATCTGACTCCAAAATGGAAATATTTATTTACAAAAAGCAGTATTTAAAACTTAAGACTGTAATCTCTCCAAAGGACACTTCAAGATGAAATGATCTTTTTATAATAAATACGAACATGTGGATATGCACTAGCTTTCAACTTTCTTAAAATATCTTACTGCATATTACTTTGTGATCACTTTGTGTGTGTGTTACAGGAATTAAGAGGGTAGAATGGTTGGTGGTGCTGTATGAGATAGAAGCTGACAGTTCTCACGGGCTATTTGCCTTCCCTGGTACATCGTGGTATGCTCCAGCCACGTGCCCAATGCAGGAGTGAGAAGAGCTTAGTTGCTCTATTGGCTCTAGAATTGCACCTGTTATTGCTTCTCCCTGAAACACCCACAGGTCCTCTTCTCCACCACAACAACAAAGAAAATGATCCCAGTTAGATGTAAAGGTCAGGTACAGTATAACAAACGGCTCAGTCTCCTCTGCAGATTAGGATAAGCTCTGAAAATGGGGTTGAATTGATTGGTCTGATTTGTTCTGCCCTATTCCCCAACATTGACTGTACAGCTGATAGGCTGCTGAATTATGGTTATTTTATAGGCTCAACTGGGTCTGTCCTAGGAGGCAGAAATGAGATCATTTCGTCAAGGTGGAAGAAGCTTAAAAATCAAACGCAAAACCTGCTATAATGATAGTTAAATTAGACTTTGATAAATAAAATTGGAATCTTTAATTATTGAAATAGGAAGCTGTACTTCCGCCTAGCATTTGAGAATTCATTCTGGTGATGCGAATGGAAAGCCATGGATGTAGGGTTGGTGCCGTAACCTTTGTGACCTTAGCATCTCCTCTGTGGGATGCTGATACTTGTATAATTACAATAAATGAAGCTTGATGTGCTTTATAATAAAATTATGTTTCTAAAAATCTTTCAAGCTTTGATAGGAATATATCAGGAAATATATCAGGACTTTTTATCAGGGATTGGAGCGATAGGACCGAGGGATAACAGTTTTAAAGTGGAAGAGGGGAGATTTAGATTAGATATTAGGAAGAAAATCCTTACTCTGAGGATGATGAGCCCCTGGCCCAGGTTGCACAGAGAAGCGGTGGCTGCCCCATCCCTGGAGATGTTCAAGGCCAGGTTGGATGAGGCTTTGAGCAACCTGGGCTGGTGGGGTTGTCCCTGCCCATGGCAGGGGGGTTGGAACTAGATGATCTTCAAGGTCCCTTCCAACCCAAACCATTCGGTGATTCTATGGTGTGTCAAGAAGTTTGGGCGCAAGCTCACCTTGTCCTTTGCTGCATCTTCATAAACTTTATTTTAAGGATTGTCATAGGTATTTTCCAGGTATTCCAAACAAGATCAAAGGAAGCAAAGAGGTCTTTCTTTGACACTAAAAGAACTCCTGGAGTCTAACTGGAAAAATGCTGGTTTATGGGGTGTGCCTCAAATTACTTGATCGTTTAATGTTTTAACTGAAACTAAAATACAGAAAAGATTGTAAAATACAAAGAATAACAAGGAAAGTGGAAAAACTTGTCAAGATATGAAAAAATTTCTTTAAGTGAGACAAAAATTCAAGACTTTGAAAGAATCTCTATGGGAAGGAGCTTACAAGCTGTTTTATCATTGGTTTTCCTCATATTTTAAACACAGTTCACACTTTTGTACTTTTTGAAAAGTGATTGTTACTTATCAATCACTCAGTCAACACAGCTTGGTTCAAGAGGGATGAATGTGTTAACTTTTTTGTTACTTATTACTTTAATACTTTTTTTTTTTTTTTAGTCAGTTACCAGACCCTGCAATTGAAGACCAAGGGAAGGATTATATACGTCCTATATTGAACAAGTATGCAGCTGTATGTGTGCGTTGCCCAGGTTATGGAACGAGGTAAAAAATTCATAGTCAGAATTAGTTGTGTACTGGATCAAAGCGTATCTCAAATCAAAATTATGCTGCTATAAGTTTTAACTCTGACCACCTCTAATTTTGATTTTATCAAAACAGGAAAGCTTTGAAATCGTGTTTTTAGCAGAAAACCACAATTATCTTCTATATCTGAGGAACTGCAGAACATATTTCTCTTCCAAGAGCAAGAATAATTTCATCTGCACAGCTAACTAACTTAGAGGTTTCTTTAGGCACGTCATTGTAATATGTAGCTGCTGTTTTCATACATTAAAAAACATATTACTCTTGTTTAAAAGAACATGTATTTCCACTTTTCCCATAACTGATGTTGCTGTTTTTACCTTTGGGGATGAGGGATAGGACCCTGCAAATTTATATACTGGACACAAGGCTTAACCTTCTACTCTTATGTTGTTTCAGGACTAACACAGTCATTCTGATTGATTCGGAAGGATGGGTTACTTTCACAGAGCGCACCATGATCAATGCAGATGTCAACCAGTGGAAAACAAGCACCTATGAATTCAAACTGCACACTTAACAACTTTCCATTTGAATGGTTTGTAATAAAAGCAATGAGAGAACAAGCCATTAAGCTCCAGTAAATGTTTTGTGCCAGCCTCCGCAAGCTAAAAATAGCAAGGAAAGCAAAAGTTTATCTAAACTGGTAGCATACCCTATCTGTCTCGCAAATCCTTTGGATAAAACCAAAAGAAGAAACTGTTTTTACATTAGGTAGCAACTTATAATCAGAAATAAATTTTTAAATAGCACCCTGCCTTCAGGGCAAGGCCATCTTTGCCCAAGACAAAGTCATTGCTTTTTTTTGTGGGTGTGGTTGGTTTGGGTTTGGTTTTGTTTGGTTGGTTTTTTTTGTCAAAAATGTTTTAGGTAGTGCTTTAGTGACGTTTCAACTATTCAGCAGTGCCATGGCACAGTATTCTGCCTGGGCGGGCAGAGCAGGGGGATTTCTTTACATTTGTTTTCCTGTAGAGCATTCTGTCTTATTTCTAAAACATGATTTGAGAACAGATGGGAAATTTAATTCAGTCTCTGTTCAGTTTTACTGAAAAAAATCATGGGAGCAGACTTGCTTATCTTTCACTGGAATAAAATTATTTGTATTGTGACATCTTGTTTCCTGATAGTCTAATTAGCAATATTGGTTTTCTTATTTTCTTCCCCAGCAGGCAGGTAAGGTATAGGTATCTGTTTGAAAACAGAAGCTGAATATGTAGTTTACATCTATCAGCTGTTTTGTACGTGTGCAAGTTTGGCTTCATTTGTTTATGGGTATAATATGTTAAAGCCTGGTGTGACTACTCATAGATTTTTAGTAAAAATAGCTATTTGTTGTAAGGTGACATTATTGCAGTCTTATATTGCTGAAAAAGTTGGGTATTAAGATGCATTACTTATGTTCTAACATCTGTGAATTAAAAAGCTATTTAAATGCATGCTTTTTTCAATTATTCAGTGCCAGTGTAGGTGATAGAAGATTCTAACTAATACCAAGATATTTTAAAACCCTAAGTTATTTTGCTGCTATGGTGTTCTGGTTTGATTTATTTTGGATGCTAAATATAAAGTTAGTAATGGACCACTGTTATTTTTTTTTTCTAAATATCTGAATGTATTCTTTTTACAAGCCTTTGATTATTAACTAATTATTACAAAGTAGCAAAATATCTGATACTCTTCAAAGTTGTGCAGCTATTCTTCTCTACTCAAGCTTGTGTGTTCAGACACTCTCACTAGTATATGTGTATGTGTCTGTTTGTAATGGGGGCAGCAATCAATTAGACTTGCCATTGAGGTGAAGTACTGTGAAAGGCCATTCCCAGATTTCTAATTGCCAGGAGATGCTCAAGCAGCATTTAGTCAATGATTTCCTTTATATTTGCATATTTAAATAGCTTCTAGGTACCAGGACTGCTTGCACAACTAGTCACAGGTGGTTGATTCAGTACTACATGAATGACTTTTTGACCACCTTGGTTGCAAGACGATCAATACAGTCTTATTGGGTTGCACTTGGTTTCAAACTTGGCGCCTTCCCGACTGTCTTTCTGAGCTGGAAGAAATGGTTAGCCCTCTCTTATTTTTTGGTGACTGTTTAAACCATATGTTTGTATGAATAAAAATCTTATTGTTATTTTTCAATGCAAAGAAATAGCCATAGCTGTCTTAAATTTGAATTTGACAAATGCGTATTTAAAAAGAAAATTCTGCTTCGATAGCTTGCTCTTACTGAGAGTTTGCATAGCAATCTTTTTTATATCAAGAAAAAAATCGCCAGTGTATATTTGAACAAGACATTCTCTTTGAAGACATTACCTAAATGGCAAGCAAAATGCTTGCATGCCATTTCATGCTAAAAGCATTTATAAACCTTTGTTTTTATAGTAGTCCTGTAATTATGAAAATTCATTCTTTTTTTTTTTTACATATAGGCAAAAGAAAAGCAAGTCAGAGCTTAGATGTAAAAACAGATGATAATAATGTATTTTACTTTGCTTGAATCAAAATTTTAAATCTGGGACTTGCTTTTTCTCACAATTAAACAGTAAGGAACTGAAACCTCTGATGTTATTTTTTATCGTGTCAGAGTAGTTAAAGTGAGTCTTTTTAACTTCTTTTGAAGCTTTTGACAGTTTTGTCATTGGCTTTGGTCGCAACAGGATCAGGACTGCAGTGCAGATATCGGCAAATGGTGCTTGTCCAAAGAAATGATCAGGTATTCATGAAGTGCATAATTTTCTGTGTGCAAATTATAGTTGCAGTGAATCCACTGGAAAAAGTAAACTGTAGCTAAATTTAACAAAGAAAGTATTTTATTTTTATAAAAGTATTTTTAAGAACAAAAGAGGATTTTAAATATCAGTTTTAAAGGATATAAAGGAAAAAAGTGTATATAGGAAATTATTGCATGGCTTTTTACTAAGTTTGCTTATATGTAACATCTTTTCAAAGTCATAAATTTGCAACATATTTTTGTTTCCTGTCTTTTCCATAAAAATGGTAGTGGAAGAAATTTTAAAATATCTGCAAAAACTCAATTCTATTTTTTTGCTTAAAGTTGTTTCATATTGTTGTTTACATGTGTGTTCAAAACTAGAAGTGGAATAAAGTCCATCTGGTGACCAGTCTTTGGCAACTTCAATAGATTGTGCATTTTTGCACATATGTTTATGTTAATTTGCCTGTAAGTTTCTGTGATAAGATGAAGGTAAAAATCTTTCATGAGGTATTAGAAATGAAAGAGCTTTAAGTCAAGTCCATTTCTGGTACTTAATTCCTTTTTAAGAGTGCTGTATTTTTTGGGGGTGTGTTTGTTTTCTGTTTTGTGTGTTAGAGTGTTTTTTCTATGCTGTTGCATGGTTATACTTGTCTTATCCAGGTAAGAAATTGGAAAATATTTCTTCAAAGCTAGTAATCCAGGGGGCATTTTGCCTTGTTTTCCAGGTTAGTAAACAGAATGTATTGATTGGAATGTTTCCAGGCCAAATATCGCAGTAATGTATTCTCTGAAATACTGTCCAACTTCTGACAACCAGTATGTGCCTACCCACCTCCCCTCGGAAAAGCAAATGTCCTCTCCTTACTAGCCCTGGCTGGATTCCCCTCCAGGCACAGCAAGATCAGGTAGAAAACACAGAGGTTCTTAAACACTGAATGTCTGAAATGATGTCTGGAGCATCCCTCTTCCTGCTGTGACCTCAGGGTATGTGGACTCTGCCTTCTCCCTTGCAGACTGGAGCGGATCCTTCAGATCTTAGTACCAGAATGTGCCAAACAATCCCTTAACAGAAGAGGGGCTGGCATATTCTTGCCTCTAAAATGGTGGAGCAATCTTAGCTAGTTTTAGCTTTACAAGCAGTGACCTTTTCAAACTGACACTCACTTTGAGAAGACAAACAACTGGTATTGTCATTGTGAAGATGGAAACCCAGATGAAATCTAGGGGAATTCCCAAAATATGCAAAAAGAAAAGCTTCATTAACTCACGAGCCTCTGAAGTTGTGGCTCTTGAAATTAGGTGGTTGCATCAAATGTTTGTGGCAAGAGAAGTTGTTAATTCTCAGGGACCTTGAAAATAAGTATAAATGTATGTTAGAAGTACTTTGAGGGGCTCAGGTGTCCCGTCCCTGTCTGTCCGTCCGCCCTCCTCCTCCCTCCCCCAAATGGAAATAATCACAGCAGAGATACAGTACAGAAGGAAAAAAGCAAAACAAATGCTTCCTTAGTGAAAAGCCAGAGCCTCACCAAATGCTACTGAAGGGCAAGAATCCAGGTTTACTGTGGAAAAAATCAGATCCTGGGCAGACACGAGACTTTTGTGACCCTAAGTTGAAACTACCTTCATGTTCTGCTGTACCTGGACGTAGCGGTGGAGATGTAATTGTCTTGTCTCCCTGCTACCAGTAGCTTTAATAAATACACTTTTAACAGACCAGAGAATGAATTAGTCCTTTGGAGGTCCTCAGTATGTTCAAAGCTTAACTGATATTTATTGTTACAAATGAAATATACCAAACTAAATATTAAGACAAAATATTGATAAGACTCGGAACATTGCTTTCCTAATATCGTAAGGAAATAAGTAATTTCAAAATGAATCAATGAAGTACCAAGCAGTAATAATGCAATAATTAAAGCATCTTAAATTTTAAATTTAGGTTGAAGAACTTAATGCATATTTATGGCTTAGCAAGCATCCCTATTTATATGGAATATTAGCTACTAGGAATTAGTTTTATATTATTCGGATTCACGTAATAGAACATTGCTAATGTTCTTCATCTGATTCATTTTCTGCGGAGAAGTCTCATTGATAGCTTCTGAGGATTTAGGAAATGGTCTTGACTTGGTGAAAATAGAATCTGTATTGTAATCAACTGGAAAGGCAATGGAATAAACTGTGAGAATTGCATAACCCATCAGTATGACTCATGCTGTGAAATATAAGTTAAAGTGAACAGAGGGAAGAAAATGTTGAATATATAAAATGAATATATAAAGTAATTCTTTCTGGAACAGCCTGTATCAAGAACTTAGAAACTGAATGAAAAAGCAGTATCAAATTAAAATACTCAAATCTCCTGTCTCTCTTAAAACAGAAGACATAAGGACTGAACTTAAGGTAATAGATGAGGGAGAAAAATAATAATGTAAACTTTTATATTAAGTAGGGTAAGCAAGAATTACAATCTGTGTAAGGTATACATAACATGAATGGGGGGAAAAAAGCAATTTCTCTTCTGATTCACATTAAATTTTTGTGTCTTTGCTAGAAAGATAAATGGAGAAAAACAAATTCAAACTAAAAACAGATCAGAAGTTGGAGAAATGAAGTGGAGAAGGCCATGCTTAATTTAGCAGAGAACAAATATAATGAAGAACATCCATTACATTGAAAGATGTTCCAAAAATTCTCTGAAAAAGCTTGGATGGAAAAGGAGTGGGTATTTACAAGTAGACAAAGATGGACAGTGTAGCTTTAAGATGTCCAGGTTATATCAGGAATATTTACTGGCAATCTATTGAGACCTTTATTCTAAATATGAAGTTTTGCGTGGCCTGATTAAGCTACTGTTTTGTACAGAGAGATAAAAATATAGATTCCTACATTATATATAAAATATAATATGTATTTATGTGTATAAAATATATTTACAAA